TATACCATCATCTAAACTCGTGCGTGATGGCAGCCTTACTGAAATCTTATATCGATATTTTCAATAACTAATTGATCGTTCTTTATCTTGTTTTCATACGATAAGAAATAGCAATTAGAAAACTGATGTCTAGCTTAGTCTGTAAAAACATTAATTTTCTCTCTCATAACACTATTACTGATCAATAATCTAATCTGTTGCTAGATGTAAAAGCAGGACCTAAAATAAGGAGACTATCTTTATGTAAATATTTCTTAATACTCCTAATATTATGAAGATAGAAAAACGATTTGCAGACATTAGTAATATGTTTGGACATACATAAATTACAGTCAAGCCATGACAGCCTAGATTTTTAACATTAGAACTAGCACTAATTGCCCTATTTCACTATGACATCACATCAAAACAATCTATTGTTTAAACGCAAAGGATCATGGTCGTCGGAGGGGGTCTCAACGCAAATTCACTGAAAATTGTTCTAAAACCTGTATCAATCCACGAAGAGAAGTAGAATAGCCAGCAAACGCTCAGAATATTTTTTAGTACATATTAACACATATTATATCTGAAAACCAGGCCATTTTAGATTGAACTGTTTCACTAGGAGCAAATTTTGTTGAATTTTCTATTGGATTTGGCGATTCTATCCCCCACATAAACAAGCAGTGACGTCATAGTGAAATAGCGCAATTGATGAATCGACGACAAAGATGCTGATTGGTTGTAATTTCGATAATTGATGTCTAGATCATGTTAGAAGAAATTCAGTTTTACTATCATTAATTAAGAGTCTGTCTTGTATCATCCACCGTCTAACCTTCTCAATGCAAGTCTTCGTGACACGTAAGGCTTCATCCTGAGATGTACATTAAATTTAATAGTCCAAAGTAGATAGTGCAAAACTGTTAGGACTTGAAATTGGTAAAGAACTATCTTTTTTACCGCACATTGCAAATGTATGCAAAAAGCTAGCGCAACGAATAGGAGTATTAAGGAAAATCAGGGGTTATTTGCCTCTAAAGCAGCGGCTTTTATATTATAATAGCATGATAAGGCCCGTCATAAATTACGTAGCTGTTGTTTGGACCAACTGTGATAAGGAATTATTAGGTAGGATTTTAAGAATGCAGAAACGCGCAGCAAGAATAATTCTTAATGCTGACCAGCAATATTCCTCAGTAGCATTATTCAATACACTAGGTTGGTTACCTTTTTATGACGAAGCAAAGATAAGTAAATTAATCTTAGCATTTAAGAGGTTAGAGAGCAATGTACCCTCTTACTAGGGTGGCCTTTTAAAGCGCAATTGTGATTTGCATTCTTGCACAACAAGATATTCCCAATATAATTTAGTATGTCCTTCTTTCAAGCGCAAGACAGAGGGAGGGAGATCTTTTAGTGTCTCTACATGTCAGCTTTGGAATAGCTTGCCTTTAGCCTTACGTCAAAACGATTCTTTGACTACCTTTAAAAGCTCTTTAAGACATTATTTCTTAGACAATCAAAAAACTTTAAAATCTATAAAATCATTTTATAGTATAATCTAGTTAATTCTATTATTATTGTTTTTTATAGCTATTTTTAGATATTATTTTATATTTACTAGTTTTTTTTTCCCATTCAATAATAATTATTAACCATTAGTTATAATTTATTTTTTAGTGTAGGGGTTTTTATCTTGTTGTCATAATTTTATAATTTTTTACACACATATCTTCATAGTTTAATATATTAGAGGGCCACAGGTTTGTTAGCAAATTGCTATTTAGTGTTACCCTCAGTAAAATAAAGAGTTTATTATTATTATTATTACTGTTAGGTTTGAAACTCAGATAAAGCTGGGTGTCATCAGCGTAACAATGAACACTCGGAAGCTCATCTTCAATGATCTTAAAGTGCTTTGATGCATATATATCATCAAGTGAATAGGCCCAAGACACGATCCTTATGGAACTCCACAGCTTAAATCGTATGGTTTAGATATTGTTCCATCGATACAGCACTTTCGTACCCTTTAGATATGACTTAAACCAGAGCAAGGCTATAGCATTACAAGTAAAGTGACATCTTGAGAGTTCATCTTTATTAAAGTAATGGCGCCGTCAGTGACCACTCGAAGAAGCGCTGTTTCAGTACTATRTGTCCTTTACTATAAGATGATTGCATCTCAGGATAAATACAATTTTCAATCATGYGTAAATGAGGTTGATTATAGACAGCTTTTTCAGTGAGCTTGGATATATATGGCTGATAGCTGACAGGCCTATAATTACTAAGAAGAGGATCAAGACCAGCTTTCTTAAGCAACGGCTTTACGAGTGCACATTTCCAGATATCAGCAAACACGCCCTCCACGAAAGATAAATTTATTATTTTTGTGACTACAGGAAGCAGAACATCAATGCATTTAACAACCAGCGATGTTGGCATTGGGTCAAAAGAACAGCCTTCTTTGCGCTGGTTTCGATAAGTTTCCGTACTTCCAGTTCTGAGAGTGAAGCAAATTTACTAAAATTGGGAGCTGGTACTGATGTTCAGTCCAATGATGGGTCAGTGGAAAGATCTTGAGCCATGCAGTCCAGTTTCTTGAGTATATCAGTAATTTTTTGAGGTAGCACGTTGTTCTTTTTACCTTCATCCATCAAAGTAAGTTGACGCTGCAAAAACTTTTGTTGGTTTGAACTGTTATCATTGATAAAGTCCTGGTAGAATTTGCGGTTTATCTTCATGTGCTGAAAAATATATCACCGCTTGAGGATAAACTTCATATCTTCGCGCCACCGTATAATACGTTTTCTCTGTCACCAGGTATATTTTTTGAAATCATTAATTGTTCGTGATGCTCGTTCCCAGTCTTACACTTTTTTCATATGGTCTATAGGGTATGGTTCTCTATTATAATGACATGAACCATTCGGTGTTCGTAGTAAGTTTCGTGTAACAAAGAGCATAGAAATAAAGTGAATTTAACGAATGCTTCGAGACCTGTCTCTTCAGTTTTCAATGTCCAGTTAATCTGTGCGAGCAAATATTGCTGATGCTAATTTGAGAAACATGCTTTAATATTTATTGCATACTTTAGTAATCTCAGATAAAATTGCACTTCAGCTGGTTTTGGGATCTCAGCAACACGCCCCTATCTAAACTAGGAACTAGCTCAAGTGCACCCCCTCCCCCCACCCCCCTCGGGCGGTAGTGACGGGTTAAAGGATCCAAGAAAGCTATTTACCTTTTTATTACRATATATGAGCATTCAGTTATGCAGTTACAAAATCCAAATATTATTATTAATCATTTCCTATTTTCGAATCTATATATATCTAATTTATATACACCTATTTGCAAAAACGTTGTCAAATGAAATTAGCAGAATACCAAATAAAAATTAATTAGCTTAGATGACAACATTGTTGCAATAGGACATTTAGCTATGGCATCATTAACTACAACTTCCAGAATCCCTTGCGCGCTTTCTTTTGTTTAGTTTATCAGTACCAGGGTCTCAGCTTTTTAGGGTTTGGGTGACTAGCTTTTAGGTATATATAGAGGCTCAGGTCAAACGTCGAACTTCACATGAGCCAAACCTAATTGAAATAATGGATAACAAGACAGTCTTCTTTGATGTTATTAGGTTCGGCTCATGTGAAGTTTGATGTTTGACATGAGCCTTAGACTTCAATAACGAGAAAAAACTGCCCGTCATGTGCTATCGACCAGAGAGTATAATATTACTTGGTATCAATCAGCTGAATGAATCTCATTACCAGCTTACAATGACAGGCAAACACTGCCCGTCATGTGCTATCGACCAGAGTATAATATTATTTGGTATCAATCAGCTGAATGAATCTCATTAACAGCCTACAATGACAGGCAAACACTGCCCGTCATGTGCTATTGACCAGAGAGTATAATATTACATGGTATCAATCAGCTGAATCAATTTCATAAATCTCATTATCACCCTATAATGAGGGGCAAACGTATATTGACCAATTAGTAGCTTTACACTAAAACAATTAGACCTCTGGCCCTCATGGTCTACGAGTCAATAGCCTATTTGGCCCAACTCGTAGACCATTTGGGCCGCAGGTCTAATTATTATAAAGTAGTTAATAAATTATTTACAAATCATACGCACCTAAAACCGAAATCTATACAAGTGGAACAGTGTCTAGCTGACTAAAATAACAAAAGACACGGTAACTATGTTGGCTGATGTAACAAAGTCCTTAGTTAATTCAACCAAGATAGCAGCTGTGAAAGCCAACAATAATTATTATAACGGTTGTAATGTGAATATAAGGAATATATTTTAAGAAATTTAAAATGTGCGCATATATACTGTAATATAAACACGTTGGTAACCGTAGAGCACGATAGAAGCAAGCTTAGAAACAAGGCGAGCCAAGTGCTTCTCTTGCTTTTCGAGTGCTCTACAGCTCCCAGCATGTTTATACCACTATCACAATACAGTGAAATAACCAGCCGTTTCATATTACTTTCATAAAACATTTTTGGACAACTTCGTGTGAGTCAGTCTCTATCCTCCAATATAAACATGGTAGCCAGCAAATCAGTGCCTACGTTATATTTCAAATATTATCTCAATATTTTGTCCTCATTCCTAGCAGATGCTAGTCTTCAATCTAAAACATCTCCTGATAGAAAGTAAGCATGGGTGTGTCCTGATTAACCAGGGAAGAAAGCATAACTTACTACCCTTGGCATTGTTTGATACGCAGGCTTAATCATTTTTAATAGGTTTATAAAGGATAGTGCTGACAAACTTCTCTCCATAGCGATGTGTCACACTCAGTGCCATTACACCATCCTAAAAATATCAATTACCATATAATAGCTTATTATATATAATTTATTTGAACATGTATCATTAAGGAGTTAACACTCATTACGACATGAACATGCATACATATGTATAGAGAGGGGGGTGGAGGGGAGGATAGACAGTGCTTTTACCTTGATAGACAGTGCATACAGATGATTCAAGCAGACCTGGTCAGGTTCTGGCAGCAAGGGAGAGGTAGGTAGGGATGGGGAGGGGTAGGACTCTTACCTTGATAGACAGTGCATACAGATGATTCAAGGCAGGTTCTGGAAGCAAGGGAGAGGTAGGTAGGGGTGGGGAGGGGTAGGACTCTTACCTTGATAAACAGCGCATACAGATGATTCAAAGAGACGTGGTCAGGTTCTGGAAGCAAGGGAGAGGTAGGTAGGGGTGGGGAGGGGTAGGACTCTTACCTTGATAGACAGTGCATACAGATGATTCAAGGAGACATGGTCAGATTCTGGAAGCTAGGGAGAGGTAGGTAGGGGCGGGGAGGGGTAGGACTCTTACCTTGATAGACAGTGCATACAGATGATTCAAGGAGACATGGTCAGGTTCTGGAAGCAAGGAGGGATCATCATGGTCTACTACATCCTTATTCAGGATGACGTGTAGAAGATGAGGTGGAAGTACAGGAGGTACACTGGCATGCATGCCGTCTCTTATTATCACTGGTGTGTTATGGGACGGAATGATTTGACCATATGAACCTGGGGGTGAGCCACCAGACTGGGATTCTATGACAAACGACCACACATTAGTATTCTATTATACAATGTTATCATTGCTTAGCTGAAACAAGGTATGAGGAAAAATAAAGGTTAAAGACCCTTTAGAAACTTTTAGCTGAAACTTGTGCGCAGCGGCATTGCAAGACAAGCTTTGGATCGCKGGCAATAGTGTTACATGGTGCAATTTAGGTTTTGTGATACTTTCGCCATGATAAAGTTTCACGAAAACTGTTTTCTACTCGGCAGCCGAAGGCTGATGTGGACCTGTTGTTTGTGTTGATATGCAATACTTACTAACAGATCCAGAGCCAATACTGGCATTTGCATCCATGTCTAGAGCATCAAACACATCCATGTCTGTTTTACGCACCGTTACAACATTGTTTCTTCCACCAAAGTTATCATTTGTAGTGGGCTAATTGAAGAGAAAGCAAAAACAAGTTTAAGGTGGAAATAAGATTTTTTTAAATCTATTTTTTAAAATTATTTTTTCCCATAAGAAAAGAGTGTACGTTGAATGCTGTAGAGAATACTTTCAGACTGATAGTTCATTCAGGGTCCATGGAGCACATCGTCAGAWTGTGTAGTTCCAGAAAATATCCATACCCCACACACACAGGAAATTGGAATTTCCGAAGGGTAGGGAGGTCAGAGAAAAAAAACAAAATTACAGAGTTTGTAGGGAAGAAAAGTGGAGATTCCTGGGGGAAGGGCGTACTCTTGCAAATTTCCTCCGTGGTGGGGTTATGGATATTTTCTGGAACTACACATTAAAAATAACAGATAAAACAAAAAAATACAGATAATAAGTCAATTGAAAACACATAGTTTATTTTGTTATATAAAGCAACAGGTGATTCCATAAATGCTATTCCAATTCTTTTGGGGAAATTTGCTGGATTACTTACTAAGTTAGGGTCATGTATCCATCTGCCATCTACACAGAACTTATATTCATGTTCTCCCTCTGGAAGCTCTATAATAGCTGTGAATTCGTTGTGACTAGTAGAAGGAAAAAAACAGAAGGAAAGATAAAAAATAAAGCAATGCTTCACATGTCCCTTGTAGGAGAAGGGTCCCTCTGACAAGTTCTTTTCACAAGATATCTCCTTTATCTGTCCTTATAATTGGAAAATTGAGGGAAATTGAGGTCCTCACATCACAAAGTAACTTTCAGAGATTATTCATAAAAACGAACATCCGCTATGAGCTAAAGATAGCCTTTTACAGAAAGTCCAATGAGAGGTATCCGACTACATAGAGAAAAATAATGTTCTCCTTTGATCTACAATGTGATGTCAAGTCTGGGAATAGACCTCCTCAGCTCTGCAGCACTCCAGCGTAATGTTGTCCCATTTCAGACCATGTGTCATTCCCTTGAGAATAATAATCTTTGTTCGAGTTGTATCCATATTCATGTGTCTTCTCATATGCAACCAAGTGTAAACCTTAAACAAAGAAATGATACTCTAGGGAACGACACATGGACTGAAATGGGAAAACATTACGTCAGAGCCAAGGAGGTCTATTGCATCCAAGACTTCAGAGGTCAGAGGAACTGGCCAGAGACGTGTAATTAGTGGCCTTTAGCACAATGTTCTTGTAGGCCCCACAAACCTCAAACTGTGGCTCAAAATCAGGCCTTTTCCATCAAACTTTTGACTTTTAGTAAGGAGTCATAACAAAGTCGTTGCTGGAAGAGCCCCCATATTGAATTTCATTGATGCTGAGTGTTTCTCTACGTGTTTATGGGCCTGTTTCTGGGCCTGATCCCTAGGAGTAAGCAGTAAACCTGATGCTAATGGTACTCTACAAATACCACTAGTATGCCACCCTTAATTCCCTAAAAAGGAATCCCTAGCCAAAACAAAGTACATTTTACAATCCAATACCTGTAATTCATAGGTATTCTAGTTTTCCATTCATTAAAGCTTCCAGATAACAGGATCTCTCTCCCTCCGTTCAGCCAGGTGAAGACAGTAGGGATAGTCATTTTCTTGTGAAGCTCTGGTTCAAGGTTTTCATCATCAAAATCAAAGCCTGATGGCTCTTCTCTCTGTATCATGTGAGCTGAAAAGAAATCAAATCAAAGATTAAGATAATAATTCATTGATTTAGGATGCTTGGAAGAGTCTGACAGTTTAAATGGTTGGCTAATAACTGAGGAGAAATTGCATGCTGCCTTTGTATTACATGGTTAGACTTTCAAGTGGCTCAGATGACCACTTTAAATGGTGGTCCCGTCTCTCCACACTCATGATTACTAACCAACATCGGAGGCACCCTAGCAGTGACCACCCTCAGTGTTTCCACTTCGACTAACCATCTCTCATACTTGTAAATTGCACAAAAAGTAGCATTAAGCCTATAAATAAATAAAATAGACCTTTTGAAGGTAGGAGAAGCAGAGAAAAACTCTCACAACACAGAAGCATTTTATAAATGGTACAAAATTTTTGTTCATTTCCTGTTTTGAATTGTTTCTCATTTGAGAACAGGGTTACCAGCTGTTCTAAGTTAAGCCACACCTTAAACTTTAAATAAGATGTGAGCATGCTGGCATAAATGGCACTCACATCTTAGCTAAGATGCAAATGCAGTGTGTGCATGCACAACTTCACACAGGGAGCCCACAAAGACTGGGATAGATACCAACAAATCAGTCCAAACAAGTCATTTATACAAGATCTTCGCATTTTATTTAAGACATGCTAGACACATGAATGAATCAGTTGGCATTCTTTTTAGGATGCATCTAATGTGTAAGGTGCATCATATTTCCCCCAGTGTGAGTGGCTCTCATAGAGACCTTTAGCAAGACGTTCTTGCTAGTCCTGCAAACCTATCACTGCAGTTCGACGTCAAGCATTTTCCGTCAAACTTTCGACATTTAGCAAGGCGTCATGTAACGAAGTTGTTGCTGGAAGAAGTACCATATTGAGTTTCAGTGATGCCAAGTGTTTCTCCATGTTTGCAGGCCTGTTTCTGGGCCTGATCACTAGAGGTTGGCGTCATATAACAAAGTTGCTGCTGGAAGAGGCGCCATATTGAATTTCAGTGATGCCAAGTGTTTCTCCGTGTTTGCAGGCCTGTTTCTGGGCCTGATCGCTAGAGGTTGGCGTCATATAACAAAGTTGCTGCTGGAAGAGGCGCCATATTGAATTTCAGTGATG